ACGGATAAAGAATGGGATTATATATGGCGGCTCATCGAGTCCGTACCGTCAACATGCATAACACAAATAACGAAAACCCATAATGATTTCTATATTTAGCGAAACTTAATGATAAAACTACTTTTACGGATTTTATCGCGTTTTATTTATATTAATTTTAATACCCGACGTTTCGGGTGCTTTCCAGCACCCATGGTCACTGGGGACTGAGGTGACTGACGTCCCGATGTCAAAGTTAACCCGGAGTACCTTCAGCTTTTTAATTATTGTCTTTTGTCCGATCTACGCAGAATGAACTAACTGTATTTTGAAGTCTTGCAGTGGTATGCTTGGGTTTAGTTTTAATTTTATTAATTATAGGATCCCAAGCAGGTGGTAGTTCCCAGCATCCTTCTGTATTGAAATTCGGATATTTTTTTAATTTCAATAGCCTCACGTATCATCCTTGGTAGGAATCGATGTTCTTTCGCGAGGATTTGTGGTCTATCAAATCTGATGTAATGGTTGGAGCCATCTAGAATATGATCGCAAACTGCAGACTTCCCGAAACGTTGATGCTTCACGTCAGCTATGTGTTCTTTTACGCGGGTTCTAATTGATCTCTTTGTTTGCCCTATATATGAGAGACCACAATCACAATCAAGCTTGTACACTCCTGCATCTTGTAGAGGAATATGACACTTGACGGATGGTAAGAACTGACTAATCTTCTTCAGCGGCTTGTAGAATGTTCTAATAGAAGCTCGCTTCAAGATGTAGCCAATCTTGTCTGTGACACCTCTAACATATGGTAGTATAGCAGGCACACGCTCGACTGTGGCCGGCTTCACTCGGTCACTGTGACTGCATTTTTAAACCACCTTAACTCTATAAACTCTAAAATACAATTCACAATGGAGTTAGAGGCAAATAATTCTTTAGCTTTCCTAGATGTTTTAGTCATTCGAAATCCTGATAACACTATTGGTCACACTGTGTATAGAAAAAAGACCCATACCAATCGATATTTAAATGGTGAATCTCACCATCATCCTTCACAGTTAGCTACCGTGGGTAAATCTTTGTTTCAGAGAGCACGAGGGATCTGTGACAAAAAACATCTGGCCGCCGAGCTGCAGCATGTCAAGCAAGTGTTGCAAGACAACAAGCTTCGGATCCCGCGCCTACGTCACAGTGACCGAGTGAAGCCGGCCACAGTCGAGCGTGTGCCTGCTGTACTACCATATGTCAGAGGAGTCACAGACAAGGTTGGCTACATCTTGAAGTGAGCTTCCATTAAAACATACTACAAGCCGCCGAAGAAGATTAGTTAATTTTTACCATCCGTCAAGTGTAATATCCCTCTACAAGATGCAGGAGTGTACAAGTTAGATTGTGAATGTGGTCTCTCTTACATAGGTCAAACAAAAAGATCCATAAAAACCCGCGTGAAAGAACATATAGCTAACGTGAAGCACCGACGCTCCGGGAAGTCTGCAGTCTGTGAACATGTTCAAGATCGTCCCCACCATTACATCAGATTTGATAAACCACAAATCCTCGCAAAAGAACACCGATTCCTACCAAGGATGATACGCGAGGCTATTGAAATTAAAAAACATCCTAATTTCAATAGAGAAGATGGTTGGGTGCTGCCATCTGCTTAGATTCCTATAATTAACAAAATTAAACCCAAACCCAAGCATACCACTGCAAGACTTCAAGATACTGTAAGTTCGTTTTGCGTAAATCGGACCAAAAATTAATATTTAAAAACTGAAGGTAGCCGGGCTAACAATGACATTGGACGTCAAACATCTCAGTACCCCCCCCCCGTGACCATGGTTGCTGTAAAGCACCCGAAACGACGGTAATTAAAAATAAGTAAAATCAGTTAAATTAACGCGATAGAATCCGTAAATTTAGTTTTATTCGATATTACCATTTTTGAGATACTAGAGAAGACTCCATTGGGCTTTAACATTTCATTCGTTTCGACTAGCCCGTTTTAATCGAGAAACATTCCAGTAAATTTCAAAGTTTTTTAACACCGTTTACGTAAATATATTTTTCGTAATTATTTGTATAACCCAAGCCTTTGCGTAGATCGTGTAATCGAATCTGCATCTTCGTCTGAAAAAAATAAAAAAATGATGTTACCTTTCAAGGATATTTCGTCGTAACTGCTCCTGTCAGAGGAACTTCATTTCGAAACGGTTGTGGATTTGGAAAAAAATCTTCAAGCGAAATGTCTCTTTCTTACTTCAAAGAAATACATATTATGCATTTTAAAAAGTAAAGTTACAGCCTATATACGTCCCACTGCTGTACACAGAGTCTCTTTTAATTTCTTAGAGGGCTTAAGGGCAAGAAAATTTCCGTGTTGGCGAACTTCACATGTCTTCGAAATATTTTTTCTTATTTCTCAGATATAGGTTTCCTCAAGATGATTTCCTTCATCGCTGAGCACGTGGTTAATTTGCACTTAAAATTTCAATTAACAATTTCATTGACAGCGGTGTTCGAATCAGGGTTACTCGCGTACTTAGAAATTTAAAGCGAGTTCTTAGTCCCTGAGCTACGACGGCGCATCACATTAATTTATAGAGTTAGACGACAATTTAATAACGCACACTTGTTTCACATAAAGTAAAGTTAAAGTTACAGCCTATATACGTCCCACTGCTGGGCACAGGCCTCCCCTCATTTCTGAGAGGGTTTTAGGGCAAGAAAGTGTCCGCCGCGCTGCCCCAATGCGTGTTGGCGAACTTCACGTGTCTTCGAAATATTTTATTCTTATTCCTCAGACATGCAGGTTTCCTCACGATGTTTTCGTTCGCCGATCGAGCACGTGGTATATCAGCACTTAAAATTGCAATAAACAATTTCATTAGTGCCGGCGGGGATCGAATCCAGGTTACTCGCGTTCTGTTATATTTACAGCGAGCGTTAACCATCTGAGCTACCACGGCTTGTTTCACATGCGCAAATATATTTAAAACCTGCCTTCCAATAATATTAGAAATATTAATACAATTAATAACCACATAGAAGAAATAAATTACTGGTCAAAGGAAAAATAGTTATTAATTATTTAATAGTAGCAATTATAGAAAATACCATGCCAGTGTTATAACAAAACGCTCACATCACTTATTCCCTTGACAAACTCTTTCTTCATAAAAAAATTATATGCTGAAGTATATTAATACATAATGACTTTCCCGCGTAATTGTTATTTCCAGTAATTTTGCTGCTATTGTCATAAATTTAACATGTTACTGTAACATGTAACACATGTAACATCTAACGTGTACCTGCTACTGCTGTCGGTCCCACGTGAATAATCTGTTATCAAACAGATGCGGTTCGGGAAAACGTGCGGTTTGCATATCACTGGCTACCGCGATACGAAACAAGGAAACACTGGTAACATTGAAGCTAAAAAACACATTATAGAATATATATTTAGCTAAAATATTTTGGTGCTTTATACTTTTGAATAAAAATGGATTTGAAAAATATAGTACTATACTTGCAAATTCATACAAACAACGCTCTACTTAAAAGATGCAGCGTGGTTCTGAATTCTACTGAAACTAATATTTTTTGATTAACACAGAAATTGATTTATTTCAGATAAGAAATCCATATTTTTAGTAACTTATATACTTAAGACTTTTAACCCAACGTTAGTAGTCACATTAAAATTAAATTAATTTTTACATTGAATTTTGAACGTTGAAATTGAAATGGGCGTGTCAGGATCGCACTAAATGGAAGTCCGAAGTTCTGCCAATCCCTCTGGGTGAGGCGTGAATGTTTTGGCAATGTATTATTGAATTGAAATTAACAATTAAAATTATCAAAGTTATGGTAAGCATTTTACTACGTACAATTGTATCCAACGCCCCAAAATTGGTGAGTTCCATTTTTCCGCTAGTCCGTTCAGGATGATATTGGCTTAACGTTTGTGTTCATATCTAGGACACTGTAGCTGAATCTTACTTTATTATTATATCTTAAGCTTTCTATCCCATCAAAAGTGTCTCATAAGATAAGCTGTCCCGCATCTCTGTTATATGTACATGATTGTACCCTACTAATCCTAAGTCTAGTAGAAGAATATAATATAAGATAACGTAGAAAAATATAAAACGTTTATTTAAAACTGATGTATATGTTTTAAATCTTAACACTATCATTATCTACCGGGCCAATTTGTTTAATCAAATTTTTTATAAACCTGAAATGACAGCATATTACAGCTCCCATGATGATGAGTATTGCAGTTAATGGACACCTGCAACTAACTTAAAACAAAGGAAGCTCCATGTGCGTTATGACTCTGAGGGCTAAGATGGAATGTCTCACAACCTATATTTTAACTGGATCTCTAAACATTCACACCAGAATACAGTAGAGCGCCAGAAATAGGTAAAAGCGTGATACAGGAGACACCCAGGCACAAAAGGAAACCTACCGCATGTATTTATATTTTATTCAGACAAAATTTACCAGGAAATCATACGTGGTAGAGCCATGCTGCAGTTATATTAGTAGTATATTTGTAGCACCAACGTCGGCTCGACGCTCTCAAAGAATACCAGCGTAAAATAGTAGCTTAATACTGCTGTGTTTCGTATGGTGAATGTAGAGAACCGGGTAGCATTTTTACTGGAAACGAGGCGTTCTATGTTCGTCCCCACGGGTGACAACGCATCTGCATTTTGATTCGAAATTGGGGATAGATGTAGATAGATGTCTATGGGCCGCAGCAATCACTTACCTTCAGGTGGACTGTGTGCTCGTTTGTCACCCTATCCTATAAAAAAGGATAGGATTCCTTTAGTGAATGTACATGTATGTACATTTTTATCAGCCAAAAACTACTAGGAAATCCAAGAATTGCAAACTTCTCTTCAATTTGATTGAAATTGTTTTAAATATACGTATGTCTAACAAAACATAAAGTATAAAAAAATATTAAGTTAAATATTAAAGAATTAAAGTATGTAGCTATGGGGATAAGTAGGGTAAGTCCGGGGGAGTTGGCCATAGTTTTTAAGAAGTCAGTAAAATTAAAACAACATAGATTAATTAACTATAATCAAGTTTTAATTAAACTTTCGACATTAAACTCTTAGAATATCACATAAAATTATTGAACTTCAACATAATCAGTCTCATGATTTACTTTTTTTCCAAATTACGATTTGCCATCTCTCCCGGAGTGCCCGGTAGAGATGGCCATAGTAGCAAGGGATAGATTGCCAGTTTATTAATCAGCATTTCATCCACATTTCCTATAGGTTTTTGAGTCTTAGCTTATTCTTCTTTTCTGTCCACGTAATGAACGCTTATCATCAAACTTGGTTCAATTTTTATGGAGCCACAATTGTCATAAACGCATTGCAGCCAGTATTTGATAAGATGCCTTTCATAATAATGTTCTCCACTGCCTACACAGTTATCAACTTCTCTGTTTCCACCTTCTTAATCAGACAAGTCACATAATATTGGTTCTCCCCCCTCATCACTGCTTTCAGATAACTTAATTATTTTGTTACATAGTAGTAGCGAGTTTCTTCTCACTTTGTGATTTGTGATCTTTTTCATTATTTTAATTGTATTGTCTTTCTATACACCATAAATAAGCTATGTAGATAGTCATTTTACCTTCAAACAGCATCCATGGTTGCCTTAAATGATTCTTCAATCCAGTTTCTATCCTATCCATCTGACTGCTTTTCTTAAGTTTTAAATTGAGATCTAAAAATAAAACACTACAATTTATTACTAAAATATAATTAGCATAAATAACCATGAATAAAGAAAATATTGCAAGTTATTATATAACTTTTAATATTAGACATTATTTATGTATGACCGTCTCATACCGTCCATGTATGGCCATCTCCTATCCGAGATAGGTGGCCACACATTATTTGTAAAATAATTAAACATTCCACGCGCTATTTGCAGGTTATATATTAAAGTTTGGTTCATAAAGTGAACATTTAACTTAAAAAAATACTTATTTTGTATGATTCCTTATTACTAAAACTGTGTAACGCAAACCTTTTGAAAACTTTAAGCTCCATACAAATCAATATAGGTACATTTTACTTTCTTATTGTTTTTTTCGCCGGAGTTCTAGCGAAATGTTCACACTCACTGCACGAATTGTACTAACGAGAAAGTAGTGTACTTTAGTCAGTGAATCTATGATTTTTTTAAGTAGCCATCTCTTACTTACTCTCCCCCGGACTTACCCTGCAAGTCGTGAGCGTGGTAATTGACAAAAGTCATATTATCAAAACATGCGTATAATTAAATCGAACGCATTCATTATTAATTAGTCAACACGTAAACATCCTACAAAAAAGACTTTTTTAAATTCAAAATTATTCTTTATATCTTTTTTATCTAATACAAAGTTCTTACAATGAACTTTTCCCAAAAAATTCCTATTTGTCGCACTAGATGATAATTGATAGGTTATCTCGAAGATTAGGAGTGGTTTTGCTTGTTAAACAATCTTTAGTGAATCATGTTGAAATAAATTATTTATAAATATATATAAAAGCAGACTTCAGTTATCACTCATCCAGTTTGAAATAAAAACATAAATGAGTAAAGGAGGCAAAGCACCGAACTTGCTTAAATCTTAGGATCTGTATGAATGCGCGACGATCTTGATACTGCTACGGAGCTTGGCGCCTGTTCAGATCTCAACTCTTTTATTGCCAAAGCCCCAAACGTCTTTAATTCGGTAACTAAGCCTTTTCACATTTATATTTTTGGTGGGATATTATCAACTTTTTACAAAAGTTCAACGTTTTTCTGAGTTTTCTTTCACCTGTTCCCTATTTTAATGCGCAACGGTGTCATTATTCACCTTCGCCACACACGGCCAGGAATAATAATAATAATAATAATAACTAATAATAGCTAACTCTGAGGGCATAGACTTGTCTATGCCCGTCAACTTAAGGACCCTTTCCGAGGCTGAAACATACCGATACCTGGGGATGTCACAGAACATCGGTATCGATGAGGCTGGTATGAAACAGTCAGTTTGCGACGTGTTTTATGCACGCTTGACCAAAGTGCTTAACAGCCTTTTGTCCGGTGTGAATAAGACACATGCATATAACGGCTGGGTCATGCCTGTCCTCATGTATACCTTTGGCATACTCAGGTGGACTCAGACTGAGCTTAACGCCCTGGATAGAAAAGTCAGCACTACCATGACGTCCCATAGGATGCATCATCCGAGATCGTCGGTAATGAGGCTGTACTTGCCGCGAAAGTATGGTGGGCGTGGCTTTCTGAGCGCGCTCACCATGCATAATCGCGAAGTGTGCAGTCTCCGTCAGTACTTCTTGGCGAGATCGGATGATCCATTCTATAATGACGTCATTTCTAGTGATAAAGGGCTTACCCCTCTATCCTTAGCCAACGAGCAATGGCAAGACCCGGCAGTGCAGAGCATTTCCGACCGGGAGACCGTATGGAAGGAGAAGGAGCTCCACGGGAGGTTCTACAAGGCTCTACATGAGCCTTTCGTAACCCACAGTAGCCTCCCTCCACTGGCTACGCTTTGGTGATCTCTTCGGGGGAAACCGAGGGTTTTGTCTGTGCAATACAGGATCAGGTTATTAAGACCAACAATTATCGGAGATACATCCTAAAGGATGGCACCGTCGACATCTGTCGAGCTTGTCGCCATCCCGGTGAGTCACTTAGGCATGTTATCTCCGGTTGTTCGGCGCTTTCTAACTCTGAGTACTTGCACAGGCACAACCTAGTAGCCAGAATTCTACACCAGGAGCTCGCTCTGAAATACGGTCTCGTGGATCGGAAATTGCCGTATTACAAGTACTTGCCGGAAGCCGTGCTCGAAAATGATCGCGCCAGGCTCTATCGGGATTTATATTTATTTTATGTTATTGATATTTATGTATATTTATTTTTTCATTTTCATTTATAATTATATATTTACAGAACCCAACCAGATGAGAAAACTATATAGATACCCCACAATAATAATAATATTCCACAACTATCACACAACGCCATCTAGTCCCAAGCTAAGCACAGCTTGTGTTATGGGTACTAGACAACTGATAAACATACTTATATATTTCTAAATACATAAATATTATAGATAAATTACACCCAGACACAGAACAAATGATCGTGCTCATCACATAAACATTTGTCCTGGGTGGGAATCGAACCCACGACCTCCAGCATAGCAGTCAGGGTCACTAACCACTAGACCAACAGGCCTGTCAAAAAATATGAGTAGGATCACTTTTGTCCATATCTGCTGCCCCACCAGCGCCAGCTGCTTATTAGCGGCCCCTTCTCGGGAGATGCCAACTCCCCATCATCCAATCTTCATCAGCCCTTCACGAGTTCACTGCTGAACATAGGACTCCCATAAGAAAGGCCACAAAGCCTGGATATACCACGTTAACATAGCTTCTCCTAGGATAATCTTCCTTCATACATCATATTGTAAGGACCTGATTGCGCACGTCTGGTTGGATAATAACTGTCGCTATAATTCTACCTAAAAGTTGTAATATAATACGAAGAAAAATATTGAAATAAATTATTTGCATACGAATTACATACATGATATTATCATAATAAATATTGAAAAAGTATAGAAAATATTTCTTATTAGCTGTTGCTGCATCATCAGAATTATTAATTTAGTTACTTTGATAGAGAAAAAAATACGAATTTTGTTGATGGAAAAATAATTTATTTATTTAATATTGTTGATAATATTATTGACTTAATTTCGTAATTAAACAAAATTACGTAACTAATAACAAAAATCTCTTCTTCTATGTGATTGGCATTTTAATTTCTCTTACTTGGATAAAATATTTAAATAACCTGCAATTTTTTCAACATAGCTGTTAATTTAAAAAAAAAATACGAAAAAATATAACTAGTTATACGAATGTTTCATAACGAACTAAGACTGCTTGTAACAAATTTTGATACTCTTAATTGCGTAATGATTTTCGTCAGAGTAGGTAGCGCATCCTAATTGGCCAGACTGAGTCGCATTTAGCACAAGCGCCAGATATCACCCACCTACTTTTATCTCGCTGATAAATAGTTTGCAAGAAATCGAAACGGGTTTTGTTCGTAGTAATTATATCTATATTTCTGACATCCTATCACAAAAATATCGTTGAATGAAGTAATATGATTCAAAATTACACATGAAGCAGTTGCCACGTGGCTCTATTATACGTTTTTTTATAGAATAAGGGTGACAAACGAGCACTCAGTTCACTTGATGGTGAGTGAATGCTGTGGCCCATAGACATCTACATTTATCTTCGATTAAGTATCAAAACGCAGATGCGTTGTCATCCCTGAGGACTAAGATTGAATGCCTCGTTTCCTGTTAAAAGGGTCTCCAGTTCTCTACACTCACCATACGAAACAAAGCAGCATAGAGCTGCTATTTTACGCTAATATTCTGTGAGAGCGTGGTCCTTCCCCGGTCGAGCCGACCCATTCGTGTTACAACCACAATATAGCTGCAGCATGGCTCTACCTGGTATAAACTATTGTACTAGTTCTATCTTTGTATTTTACAAGAAGTTTCTTAGCGATTCGTGTCGCCAAATGGTTGATTTTTATATTAAAAACAAACGAACATGCGGCGCACCTGATGGTAAGTGACTATCGCCGCCTATGAACTACTGTAACACCAGGGGAATTGCGGTGCGCTGCCGGCTTTTCAGAAAAGAGTAAGCTCTTTTCTTGAACGTCCCTTAGTCATATAGGGCCGGAAAAATCGTCGGTGGTAAACGATTGATCCGATCTAAACGGTATGTCAGGCATTCCATCCTCAGAGGTGGCAACGCATCTAAAGCCTGAAGTTGATCTACGGATCGCAGTAACGTTAATAAAATATTTGCAAAATTGGTCAAAAATTGCCTAAATCATTGAGTGTGTTCGTGTAAAGATTAGAATAGAATAGAATAATTTTTTGGTACGAAAAAAACCTCTGTCCTGGGAAGAACCGGCAAGAAACCCAGCGGGACTTTTTTTTAAAATAAATTTTACAATGTCAAGGGTCACAAAATATTTACAAAATTTATTTTAGAAACGGCTTGGAAGCGACCATACAGTTTTTGTTTAATTAAATATTTAAACTTTGTAATAGAGAGACTTTGTATATTTTCTAGGACTTTGTTGTAATAGCGTATGCATTGCCCCAAGAATGAATTACTGACTCTGTGGAGTCGAGAAATTGGTAGCACAAATGTTTGTTTCTAGTGTTTACAGAGTGTATGTCACTTTTTTACTAAAACTACCTTTGTTTTTGTGAACATACGTCAAATTTTCATAGATATACTGAGAGGCCGAGTTAATATATTTATTTCTTTAATTTTTTCTCTAAGAGACTCTCTCGGTTTAAGGTTGTAAATAACTCTTATGGCCCTCTTCTGCAAAACGAATTTAGTTTCTAAATCAGCCGCATTCCCCATAGCAAAATTCGATATGACATTATGTTATGGAAATAACTGAAATAAACTAATCTAGCTGTTTCAACACTAGTGAGATCTCTAATCTTTTTTACAGCATAAGCTGCAGAGCTTAGTCTGCTTGCTAGTTTAGATATATGGGGACCCCACTGAAGCTTAACGTCGAGAGTGATGCCAAGAAAAACAGAGGTAATAGACTCGGTTTATTAACTTTTGTTATTGTAAATTTAATACATTTCGTTTTATTGCCGTTTAAATATAGATTATTAACGTTAAAAAAATTGGCGGGGTCTGATGTACTACCAGATTTTAATAAAGGTATAACTTTACTATGTTTCATTAAATCAGGAAACACACCAGTTTCGACGCTTGTATTAAAAATAGTGGCTAGATATGGTGCTATTGTATCTATTACGGATGCAATAACTTTAATGGAAATCCCCCATATTATTTGCTTTATAAGGGAGCTGCCGGAGATGCATACCCAAGGGTGTACATAAATATGGGGGTATGTCGGGTGACCGTCTACTTGTAGTACTGTTGCACAATGTATAATCTTATATTAGGGACTTATGTTAGTAAGGTCTAAGATACAAAAGCATTATTATAGGTCTCTATGATGCATAAGCATTACAATAGTAGAGTTGTGGGTTGAAGTCCCTAAAAATAAGAGTCACACAAATCTTAGGTTACTTGAATTTCCATCACAATTCGTTCAGCCATTTCGAAGATTAGCCCCGACAGACGACAGATAACCGCTTAGGGGGTTATTAATAGAAGCCAGTTATTTCGATACCAATATAAACAGACACTTAATTTTTTTTTAATTTTTTATAGTAAGTAGGGCAAACGAGCCTACCGTTTACCTGATGTTAAGTGACTACCGCAGCCCGTGAACAACCGCATCACCAGGGGAATTGCAGGTGCGTTGCCGGCCCTTTAGAAAGGAGTAAGCTCTTTACTTGAAGGTCCCTAAGTCGTATCGGTCCGGATAAATCGCCGGTGGTAAACTATTCCACAGAAAGGTCGTACGCGGAAGAAAACTAAATATGCACTTATAGAAGAGTAGATTATTAATATTTGACCATTAAATTGGTATTTACTTTATAATTATTATTAATATTAATTATTATTGTTTATTAATTATTTAGGTTTTTTATTAATTATTAATTAATTATTGTAATAATTATTTTTATTACAATAATCAAACATTAAATTAACATTGAATAAGGTAAAGAAATGGAATAAAGGTTATTTCATGGATTCTATCGCGTTTAATTTAACTTTTTTTAATTCCCTTCATCTCGGGCACTTTACAGCAACAATGGTCACGGGGGGGACCAAGGTATTTGACGTCCAGATGTCATAATTAACGAAAGCTACCTTCAACTACGTGGTTCAGCCACGCTGCAGTTATGCAAGTCTCTGACAAAATACCAGCGTAAAATAGCAGCTTCGTAATGTTGTGTTTCGTATGGTAATTGTAAAGATCCGGAGACCCTTTTTTACTAGACACGAGGCATTCCATCTTAGTCCTCAGGGGTGACAACGGATCCGCATTTCGATTCTTAATCGAGGGAAATGTTGATGTCTATGGGCCATAGCATTCATTTACCACAAGGTAAATGAATGCTCGTTTGTCACCCTTATTCTATAAAAAAAAACTTTTAATTATTTATTTTTGCTCCGATCTACGTAGAACGAATTTACAGTATTTTGAAGTCTTGCAGTGGTATGCTTGGGTTTGAATTTAATTTATACCATTAGATAATTATAATTTTCCTACCACATACTAAAAGCAAAAAATATATATATATTACGATATAAGTATATTAAGTTTACCGATACATACTCCGAAAAATGAAGTTGATGCAAAGGGCATTAACCTTTTAAAACTAGGAGGTCACGATGTTACAAAAGCAAACGCAAATTATTTTTAATTTATTTATATTTTAAAATACAAATTACGTATGATTCGTCTTTCTTTCCTAATATTCATCCAATACAAAAATAAATAAGATCTTATATACTTTTTTTTAATTTTAGAGTAAGAGGTTTTTGTAGCACGAATGGGTCAGCTCGGCCGGAGCAGGACCACGATCTCTGAGAATAGCAACGTAAAATAGCAGCGCAATGCTGCTGTGATTCGTATGGTGAGTGTAGAAAACCGGAGACCCTTTTTACTTGAAACGAGGCATTCCATCTCAATCCACAGGGGTGACAACGCATTCGCATTTTGATTCTTAATTGAGAATAAATGCGGATGTCTAAGGACCACAGCATCCACATACCATCAGATGGACTGTGTGTTCGTTTGTCATCCAATGTTATAAAAAATATTTTATTCTATTCTAATACATCACTATAATTATTGTTAGTGCATATGTTAGTGAACGTATAACTTCTGAACTTCTTCACCGATTGAGCTAGGTACATTATTATACAGGTGCGGTCCACTTAAAACCTTTTCCTTTTTTGAAGTCAGCTAATAATAAGTTCTCTTAAAATCGCAACGGTTGGTTGAAATTACCGTCAATTTTCTAGACTATCGCTGTGCTAAACTCATTTCTAAACATTATCTAGCGTCAACATTGCCTTAACTGAAGAATACTTATCTACACAATGCATGTGAGTTATCCTTTGTTATTGCAATACATTTTTTAAACTGCAAAGCAGTACAAAACTTGGGTTGAATGGTCTAAATATAAAACACAATTCTTTTTTTATAGAATAAGGGTGAAAAACGATCCGCGATTAACACTTTCGTTCTAACAACGTCACAGAACGTCCAATTTGATGTCTTCGCGATGACGTACATAGTCTAATCACGTCCTAAGAAAATTTTAATTTCCAAGCACAACGGCTAGTAACGTCAAATCTCTGTATAATCTTTAGGTAGCTACGTCATTGCGCCGCATCGTGTGAAATTTTCAAAGTTCTAGCGCTACAATACATTAGTTTTTTTCTTACTTGAACATAAGTCACACACACATTGATAGGTACCTACACACACATGAACAACGTCGACAAACGTCGTTTTTGGTTAGAGTCGCCATACTGCCAGTCTGCTTGCGCGCCGGTACAGTGACCCACGTTTTACGCTACAAAACCCTCGCAGGCCGTGCATTTGAGAAAGTAATCGTAAGTTATTTTTTCGTTTTCTATAGTTTTGTAGGATATGGTGATAGTTGTTATGAGTGCATTATAGTATATATGCTGCAATTTTTGAATTTTATAGATGGGAAATAGAAAAAGAGGCCAGAAGAAGCCATCTAAGAAAAAAGTAATTGAAGTGGGTTGCAAAGAAAAATGTGAAGCTGGACCAAGTGGGATATCAAGGAAAACTCATTCCGTAAGTTATATTTTAGTTTTTTTCTGAAAAAAATCTCAAATGTACGCATATGTTCTAATTTTGTGTCCTGAATAAGATGATAGCTATGTTTTTTGTTGTAGGTGGAAAAATCACGCCAAATTAGTAATAATGCTTCCATGAAGTTGTTTCAATATGATTCTTCATCAAGGCCATCTACACCAGACCCATTTAGTGATGATGGAGAGTATGGTTCCGATAACGACTATGATCCAGGATATGATGATAATACAGACAGCACTAGCACTGTTAGTGATCACACAAAGCAACGTGAAAAGAAACAACTAAAGAAACGTTCCAAGGACAACGCAACGAGGTCACATGGTAAACGCAACTCTGAAAGCAGTGTAAGTAGCAGCTCTGATTCTGGCGATCGAACCGAAGGCTTTAGCGAGTGCACGGATGTATGTGATAGCGATAACAACGAGGATGATACAAATTCGATATCGGCAGAATCTAGTGATGAGAGTATTTTTGACAGTAGAAAGAGAAAAAAGAAGGGGCAGAGTTCCTCTTTAGGATCAAGATACAAAAAACCTAAGATCGCCAGTGCAGATCAGAGTACCGACACTATGTCGTTAGATTCTGAGGCATTGCTAAATAATATAGAAAATCTTGAAAGCTCTTCAGTGCAACTCGATCCTGCAGTATTAGAAAATATCTCAATTTATTCACATATCGAAGGAAGTCACTCCCATACTAATCCACAAATTCAAGGTGCTGAAGACGACCATGCTGCTGCAGCTGCTGAGGTTAATCCCGCGCCTGCCAACCTACGTGCACTGGAACTAGACGCATCTGCGCAGCGCCACTCTCCTGGTTCTCCTGCACTGGATCCAGCAGCTGCTGAGGGAAATCCCGCGCATGACAACCTACCTGCCTTGGACCTGGATGTAGCTGCGCAGCACCGCTCTCCTAGCTCTCCTGCACTGGATCGGGAGGCTGTTGAGGGAAATCCCGCGCCTATCAACGTATCTGCCCTGTACCTGGATGCAGCTGCACAGCGCCGCTATCCTGGCTCTCCTGCACCGGATTCAGCAGCTGCTGAGAGAAATCCCGCGCCTGACAACCTACCTGCGCTGCACCTAGACGCAGCTGCGCAGCGCCACTCTCCTGGTTCTCCTGCACCGGATCCAGCAGCTGCTGAGGGAAATCCCGCGCATGACAACCTACCTGCATTGGACCTAGATGCAGCTGCGCAGCAGCGCTCTCCTAGCTCTCCTGCACTGAATCGGGAGGCTGTTGAGGGAAATCCCGCGCCTGTCAAATTATCTGCCCTGTACCTGGACGCAACTGCGCAGCGCTGCTCTCTTGGCTCTCCTGCATCGGATCCAGCAGCTGCTGAAAGAAATCCCGCGCCTGCCAACTTATCGGCCCTGGATCTGGACGCAGTTGAGCAGCGCCGCACTCCTGGCTCTCCTGTATCGGATCCAACGGCTGCTGAGGAAAATCCCACGCCTTCCAACCTACCTGCTCTGGACCTGGACGCAGCTACGCAGTGCCGCTCTCCTAGCTCGTCTGCAGCAGATCGGGAGGCTGCTGAGGAAATTCCCGCGCCAGCCAACCTTCCTACCCTGGACTGGGACGCAACTACGCAGTGCCGCTCACCTAGCTCTTCTGCACCACCAGAACTAAACGCTACTGTAAGATATCCAACTCCGGCCAGCACACTTGCACTGGAGGTAGTTGCAGAGCGTGGCTTGTCCGCCTCTCCTGTGCCGGAACGAGATGCTGCCGAAACGAGTTCTGCGCCTACCAGTCCATCTGCTTTGGATCGGGAAGCATTTGTACAACGCAACCCTTCTATCTGTCATGTGCTGGACCCAGAGGCCGCCGAAAGAAACTCCGTGCCTGACACACTCCCCGAGATAAGTCCAGCGACCAATTGCAGACCAAGCACTCCTCCACTGATAAATTATGATTGGGAACACACGAACACAGACATACCTTCGTTCGAGTTTGATGAAAGTTCAGCACGTGTCCAGTTTGAAGTCAACCCAGCTATGACAGTTATGGAAATATTTGATAAAATTCTTAATCCTAATATTGTAGACTATATTGTAACATGTACTAATACGTACGGGCGAGCACTATGCGAGAAAACAAGACCTACTACTCGAAACTCACGTAGCTATAACTTTAGGGACACAAACCGGGAAGAAATCTTGAAATTTTTTTGGATTATGTTTGCTTATGGGTCAAATCAATATTCCTCAAAAACGCAAAAATTTTACGTATTCCGACCCACTGTATTATCACCCAATTTTTCACTATGTGATGTCCGCTCGAAGATTTGAGCAAATCTTGAGATGTATTTATGTATCAGATTTAGATTCAAAAGGAAAAGATAAAATTGAAAAATTTATTAATGCTATTACCAAGAGCTTCATGGAGTGCTATAAGCCATACAAACAGTTAAGTTTGGATGAATCTTTGCTTTTATTTAGAGGCCGCCTTGCCTTCAGACAATATATAAAGAGCAAAAAAGTACGTTACGGAATCAAATTCTTCGAGTTGACAACTTCTGATGGCTATGTTTTAAATATAATGATGTACTCCGGAAAAGACACAACTGCTCGAACTGGCAATAAATCTGAAAAGATCGTCCTTCGTCTCATGAGGCCATATTTGCTGAAGGGACATCAATTATACATGGATAATTATTACAATTCCGTAACACTTTCGCAAAAGCTAGTTGACTTAAAAACTCACACCACAGGTACCTTACGTTCAAACAGAAAAGATAATCCCAAAGACATCATTAAGAAAAAACTCAAGAAGAATCAACATGTGTGGGTACGAAAAAATAAGGTCTATGTTTCAAAATGGGTTGACAAGCGACCAGTTCTTATGGTAACAACTTCAGTTCATCCTCGGCTTATAGAAATACAAAACAGATTTCAACAAAGAAAAATTAAACCCGCAGAAGTGGCAGAATACAATCAACACATGTCCGGAGTTGATAGAGCAGATCAAATGATCTCATATTACTCCTCACCAAGGAAATCAATCCGGTGGTATAAAAAAGTGATGTTCCACTTGTTGGATGTCGCAGTTTGGAACTCATTTTTTATTTTGAAAAAAATACTGCCAAGCCAATTGTGATTTCTTGCTTTTCCGAGAGGAATTGATTCGAAGACTGTTGGACTTACCAGCAGATTTAACAGCAGAGCAAGTGATTTTAGCTCGCAGCAAATATGACAACAGAATCAGAGCTAATTTATTGTCACTTCCAGTCAGTACCATTGACGACGACGTCGGAAGCTAACGAGTCCATGGTCACTGGCCTGAGAAAATACCCGTGCAAGAGGGTTCAAACAAAACATCAAAGTACTTGAAATGCAAGATGTGCACGAAAAAAAAGGTGAGAAGGGAGACTTGCCTGAGATGTAAAGGTTGCCCTGAAAAGCCAGCACTGTGTGCTCTTTGCTTGGAAGAGTGGCACAAAGAAGTATAATGCTTTTTTACCTATTTTGTTCTTTTTTATGAGAGTGATATCAAATAAGTATAACTGTATCATGCATATGAGTATTTAGAAGTTTTATAATTTATTGCTACGATTGTTATACTAAATCTGCTAAACTGTGTAAGACTGAATGTTATTGTGCTATACTGGTAATCTATTGATAAGATAGAAGCAGGCAACTGTTAATTTTGTGAAATAATTTGTTACTTTTATAGAAAATACCTAACTTACCAGAGTATTATTTGATTTTGTGATAGTAGCGTAAAATGTTAAAAGGTTACTCATTCATATGATAGGTAGGTAAAAGTAAGTGAGTATTTATAATTTTTATAATTTTTTGCTACCAATGTTATACCAAAACTGTGTAAGACTGATTGTTATTGTGCTATAGTGGTAATTTATTGATAAGATAGTAGTGAGAAACTGTTTATTTTGAGAAATAATTCGTTACTTCTATGGGATAAACCAAACTTACCATAGTATTATTTGATCGATATGTGATAATAGCGTAAAATTTGAAAAAGTTACTCACACGTAGGATAGGAAGTAAAAGTAAATTTTATTAAACTAAAACTTGGAAGAAATTTATGGACAATTGCACCTAAATTATTTTCAATTAAGTCGAGAAGAGGGTAGATATTGACACAAAATGTGATATGTAGGTAATTTTTGAAAAATAGTTGATTTTCTAAAAATATATAACAAAAAACTGATGATTATTGAGTATTATTCCATATCAAATCCTGTTTATTATTTTATTTTTATAAATCAAAGTCAACGTCAGGAAACGATGAGCGACAGATAATTTGCTCGTATAGTCGATTTATGATCAGACCGTCAAGTAACGTTGGAGTAATTAAACGTTGTTTCCCAAAACTTTAAGTTCTACTAGATATTTGTGGAACAACAGTTATGAACGTCAACGTGCATTGACGCTGCTTTCTTATCATGGTATCAATATTTGACAACTAGTAACAGAACGGCTGTAAACGTTGACGTTGTTTAACGTTGTTCAATATAGTGTAGAAATCTTGTCTAGAGATTAAAGCAGAACGTGTCCCAACGTTGACGTTGTTAAACGTTGTTCAATATAGTGTAGAAATCTTGTCTAGAGATTATAGCAGAACGTGTCCCAACGTTAACGTTGTTAAACGTTGTTCAATATAGTGTAGAAATCTTGACTAGAGATTAAAGCAGAACGTGTCCCAACGTTGACGTTATTAAACGTTGTTGAATATAGTGTAGGGATCTTGTCTAGAGATGAAAGCAGAACGTGTACCGACATTGACGTTTAACGACGTTCTTGTAATCTGTAAGGTCTAAAATACCCACAAATCGGAACAGAACGGCTGGTAACGTAGACGTACCTAAACGTTGTTGCCCCTTTGATAGATAATAATTTTAGCAATATACCGGTGCGTCCTTGAACGTCAACGATTACTGACGTTACCGACAAGTCATATGCAATATTTTGTTTGTGATACGGCGATACGAGTATGGACGTCCTCAAACTTTGTATGGAGTAATCATGCGCCACGGCCTATAAGTTGAATATTATGGTATGCGTGCATGAACGTGTTAAGAAACAAAATGTAGATGCGTTGTCACCCATAAGGACTAACATGGAATGCCTCGTTTCCAGTAAAAATTCATTTTTAAATCTTTATAGTCTACTGCTAAACGTTGGTTATCCTCATATTAAATATATTGAATGGTTATAAAAAATTATCATCATTTTTTAATAGGTATTAGTAAATTACAAACAAAAAAGTAAGTATACTTGTTAATTGAGGCAGCCATTTAAAATGAAACTTTTAAAAATATAACTGAAAGATACCGTAGTTAGTAATTTGTATAATTTAAAAGCCATGGTAGCTCTCTAACTAAGCGCTCGACGTAAATTTTAAACGTCGTAGAGCCACTGTGTAGTTTTATAATGTAAATTGTAGCATGGGTCGGCTCGACCAAGGTGCATACTGCACGGTCCACCTGATGGTAAATGGATACCGAGGCGCATTCTAAACCTATTTATTCCAGACACCTAAATCTATATTCGATTAAGAACCAAGTTATAGATACTTTGCTTTACATCCCTAAGGACTAAAATAGAATACCTCGTAACCAGTAAAAAAGTTCCACGGCTCTTTACACTTGACACTCGAAACACGGCGGTATTGTGTTGGTAATTCACGCTGATATCCTCTCTGAGCGTGGCATCGTGATCCTTCCCTACTCAAGCCGACACATTTATCCTACAGATTTAATACGGCTGCAGCAGAGTCGTGCTATGAGCCAAGTGGTAAAACGTTATATCTTTTTACTTGTTATATATTTGTAATTACCCTATTTTTTACTTTTATTATTTCTTAAAGCTCTATTTGATTACTTCAAGCTATCTCAGTATATAAGCGCTTACCTTAACAATTAGCAATTTAAATTAATTTAATATAAAATAATATACACAATGGGCAGACCATATTATATAGCTCAAGCAACTACCCACCGGTGAAAAAGAAAGGAAAGGACGGGTAAAGAAAGTGCAGAACTGCCCGCAAAAAGATGGAGGGACGACCCGATAAGAAATGCAGCAAGTCGATGGATGCTAAATTAATGATTTTAGTGACGTGGGAAGGTCTGTCTTGAGTAGTGGTCTATTCAAAGTCTTTCTTGATGAATTATTATAAAATTTTAGCGATACTTGATTTATTACTTACTCTTCTTATATACTTATTCAGTCCAAAACCTGAAAACGAGATTCTACAACCAGTGCGTGTTGCCAGTGATGACTTATGGATCTGAGACGTGGTCCTTCACTGCTGGCCGTATGAAGCCGTCGCTCAGCGAGCTTAGAAAAAGTTTATTCTCGGGGTTTCTCCGCGTAATAAACTTATAAATAAGGAAATCCGCCGTAGAACTATAGGCAATGTGCCGGCCATATAGCACGAAAAACTGCAAACTGATTAAAAATAAAGGTTTTTGAATGATATCCTCGTACTGGTAAGCAAAGTGCAGTACTGCCCCCAAAAAGATGGTGTGACGACCTGGTAAGACATGCAGCAAGTCGTTGGATGCTGAATGAATAATTTTAGTGACGTGGAAAGTTCTGTGTTCAGTAGAAGTGTTTAATGGGCTGTGATGACTAATTATTAAAAAACTTTTGCCAGTGTTTTCCGATCGGCTCGATTCACTGGCACTGCGAAGAGATGTTGCATCTCTTTGCATTTTCTTTCGCATATACCACGGAGAGTGCTCTGAGAAATTGTTCGGATTAATCCCAGCCGCCAAATTTCGTGAACGCACTACGCGGCAAACGTCGCGATACCATCCACATCATCTGGATGCTTGGCGGTCCACCACTGTACGCTTCAAGAGTAGTTTTCTTTCGCGTACAACCTCTCTGTGGAATAGTTTACCACCAGCGATTTTTCCGGACCGATACGACCTGGGGACCTTCAAGAAAAGAGCGTACTCCTTTCTAAAGGGCCGGCAACGCACCTGCAATTCCCCTGGTGTTGCGGTTGATCATGGGCGACGGTAGTCACTTAACATCAGGTGAGCCGCATGCTCGTTTGCCCCCTCTTCTATAAAAAAAATAATATTTGATTTCATTAGTTACTCTTATATACTTATTGAAAACTTCCATGAAGTGCCGGAGTAAGAACATCCACTGCCTCATATCATCCCGTGGGTGTCGTAAGAGGCGACAGAGGGAAACAAATCAGGAGATGGGCAGCAGCGTCTTCCTAATATCTAATAAAAATAATAAATAGTGGTTGCTAACCCATTTGCCAAACATGGCAACTATGGCAAATATCCCCTATGAGGCAATCTATGTGGGACGCCTATGTTCAGCAGTGGACTTAAACAGACTGTAACTTATTGAAAACATACGCGTCCCAGTTAAAACATAATATATATTTATGCGTTTGCTTAACATGGTCTTAAGTCTAAACTGACAATGAGGACAACCGCACGGACGGTGGATTTTAAGCGCTGATTAACCACGTACTCGACGTTTTTTTTTTTTAAATAATAAGGATGAGATACGAGCACACATACCACCTGATGTAAGTAGACGATACGGCCTATAGACAAATCTACATCTATCCTCAATTAAGAATCAAAGTGCAGATGTGTTATTCTACCCCTTAGGCTAAGATGAAATGCGTCGTTTCCTATAAAAAGGGTCTCCGGTTCTCTACACTCACCATACGACATACAGCAGCGTTGAGCTGTTATTTCACGCTGGCTTCTGTGAGAGCCTGGTCCGTCCTCAACCATAATATATGTAGCTGCAGCATGGCACTACCACGTAAAAACATCAAAGGAAAATATCACGAGGAAACCTGCATATTTGATTAATCTTTAGTTGTGAATAAAATTGAAATATCTATCTACAGTATCGAAATAACTGGCTTCTGCTAAGCTGAGCTGTTAAGCTGTAATTTGCATGTTACTAATGAGAGCACACACAATATTTTGTGCCACCAGGTCGAAGCCAGTTCGAAGTGAGGTGAAATATTCGTCAGAAGTTAATTTGTTAGAGAAGTGTAGAAATTAATGTTTTTTTTTCTGAAATATTATTCATATTTTTATTTAATTATGTTCCTGAAAGTATTAAAAAAGTGAAAAAGTGAAA